GAGAGGTCAGGGCGGGCCGGGGAGACTGGGGCGGCGGCGGGCTCGAAGGGGCGTGCGGCGCGGCCGCGTGGCCAGGGCCGGAGGAAGCGGGGCGAGGTTAGAGCGCGGCAGTAGGGAGCCGCGCGCCGGCTCGAGGTATTTGGGACGCAGGGCGAGGGCGACACTAACCAGGGCCTTGTAGCCGGCCGGGACCCCGGGCGGGTCCCGTGGGGTCTTTGTCCGCGCTGCTTCTGCGTTCGGTCGCCCGGCGAGCCGGGGCTGGCGGGACCGGGGCGGGCGGCTGGCGCGGTGAACCCAGACCCGGGTGCGGGCCGGGCTGGAGGGGCCGCGCTCAGCCGCCCTCGCCCTCCCGCAGCCCGGAGCGTGCCCCGCGATGGCGCTGCGGCCGCCGGCGCAGCCCGAGCCCCAGGACAAGGTGTGCCACCCGGCCGAGAGGCTCCAGGGCAGCCCCCAGGGCCTGGCGTCCTACTACTCGCCGTTCCCAGCCTATGGCCACTACCGGGGCGCCCTGCCCGCCGCGCCAGAGGACTTCCAGCCCTTCGGACAGCTGGAGCCCGCGATGTCCGCGTCGCAGCCCGTGAGCCCCTTCCCCTTCGGGGTGGCGTCGCCCTTGCTGAGCCCGGGCCTGGCACTGCCAAGGGAGCCGCTCTTCGACCTGCCCTGGTACAGCAAGTTGCCGCTGTGGTACCCGATCCCCCACCTCCCCAGGGAGGTGCCGCTCTTTCTGAACCCCCAGGAGCATGCGGGCGTGAGCGGCCACGACTTGGCTCCCGCGGGGGCGCCCAGAGACAGCGGCCAGGGCTGGGGACCTGAGACCCTCATCCCTCTGCTCCCCGGGAACGCCTCTGCTCTCCCAGAGGGACTGCAGACCTCGCAGCCGGGGTCCTCCCCGCGCAAGCGGCCGGAGGAAAGCCCCAAAGCCCCGAGCCTGGAGGGCAGCCCGCCCCCTGGCCGCCGGTTCCACTTCAGCGAGGAGGAGCTGCATTTCGTGCTGTACGGGGTCGCGCCCAGCCTGGAGTGTCCAGCCAGCCTGCACCACGCCGTCTCGGGCCTCCTGGTGCCCGCCGACAGCTCCGGTAAAGGGCACCGACGCCGGCAGGGAGCGGGGTTAAGGGGGGACCCGCTGGGAGGAGTCGCTTCAGGTGAATGGGGGGGGGGTCGCTGGGTCACCTCCAGCCGAGCGTGGGGCTCTGGGATCAGTTCTGGGGCCCTGCTCGTTGGCCTTCACGAGTCCCAAGGGTGATGTCGTGAGCGCCGAGGGCCAGGACAAACGGGCGCACTCCAGGCCCCTGCGTGCCAGTCGAGAGTCGGGGCGCTGTCGGCTGCGACATGAGGCAGTCATTGTCTCGGAGTCCCATTTCTCAAGTTTGCAAAATGGAGTTAATCAGGATTACATAAGCTTCACAAAAGGGCTCTGAGTCCCTCATGAAACGTAGGGGAAACGGTGTCAAAGAAGTAAAACGATAAGATAAACAGGATGACGGTTAGCTGTAGGCAGAAAGGACGAAAAGGCTTCAGAGAAGGATTTCGTAGGGAATGTGTTTCTCTTGAAGTGTTTAACCCTGCCTTTTTTCCCAGGGTCGGAGTGTCTTCCTCAAAGTCTGAATGGAGACTCCCTTCAACTTCCAGAAGGTGGGCAGCCTGCTTGCTGGACTGGCTTCCAGGACCCAGTGCGGAGTCGCTTTCCTCATTCTGTCTTGTCTCCCTGCCCGGGCTTTCCCTAGGTCTCTGCCTCATGCGGACCATGCTGGGTGCGACGCCCCATTTCGGCGTGTTCTGCAGTAGCTTCCTTGCCAAAGGAATCAGGTTTGGGCCCTTTCAAGGAAAAGTGATCAGCGCCAGTGAACTGAAGACCCACAGCGACAATTCTGTGGTGTGGGAGGTAATGTGCTTCCGGTGGATGTACTGGAAGGGGAGGGCAGCCGCAGGGGGAATCTTGGTCCTGTCCCTCTGAGTCCAAAACCAGATGCTTTAAATGCATGGTGTTGGAAGTCTGTTAAAAGGAGTAAAAACGAATTTTAGACTTTGGTAGTCTTTGCTTGTAAAACGAGCCGTGGATTGTTATGTGCTGGCATGCTCCAAATCAGTGACAGTGTCTGGAGCATGCTGGTGACACTGCAGTTGGTTCATCTGCAGGAGAACCGCATTTGTTAGAATATACCCGATACCTGAAATGGCTCAGAACACCTTGACCCTGAATTTCCGGTTATAGGAATGTAGTTTTAGGAAAAAACCGGAAATTTAAGCTATGTGGGAAATGTTAATCTTGGGGTTGTTTATAGTAAAACATTAGAGGGCTGGGTGTGGTGTCCCAGCTACTTAGAAACTGAGGCAGCAGGATCATGAGTTTGAGGCCGGTGGTGGAGGAAGTACTGTATTAAATTATGGCTCTGTTACTATAGAGGAATGTGTCTTTAAGTAGTGGAATTAAATTAACTTTATTTCTATTACCTCTGCTTATGAAATTAGCATGCATTCACAAAATTTGGGAATTGAGAAAGTGATAAAAACATTAATCTTTCGTTTAATTTTTTTTTATGAGTAGGGAAATTTATTGGGAAAAGAAATGGGGAATAGGAATGGCTCCCGAGAGAAAGGAGCAGTCCCAAAGGGGTTGCTCCCTCTTTTAAAAATCTATTTTATTAATTTTTTTTGAGGGTACTGCAAATCGAACTCATGACCTCATGCTTGCCAGGCAGGCACTGTGCCACTGAGTTGTATCCCAAACTCCATCTTTCATTGAATTTTTGTTTTGATTTTTGGGATAGTGTCTACCGTGCTAGTTCAGGCTGGCCTTGAACCAGTATGTATCCCAGCTGGCCTGGAAGTCATAGCAATCCTCCTCGCTCAGCCTCCTGAGTGCTGGGGTTAGAGGTGTGTGCCACCACACCTAGCAAAAGCACTGGTAAAAGTGCCGTATCACCTAGAGAGATGTCCTTAATGGGGCTGGGGATGTAGCTCAGTGGGATAAGCGCCTGCTGGCAAGTGCAAGGTCGTGAGTTCGATCCCTCATACTGCAAAACAAAAAAAAAAGAGAGATGTCCTTAATAAATTTACAGTACTTCCAGGCGTCGCGGTACCTGCCTGGGGAGGCTGAGGCAGGAGGATTACTGGGAGTTCAAGGCCAGCCTGGGCTACATAATGAGACCCTGCCTCAAAAAAGAAAGAGGAAATAAATTTATACCACTTGTAGACATGTGTACTACTTGTAATGATATAGAAATCTGATTTATAGATAAATATATTTGGCATATACTATATAGATACCTTAGTTTTTTCTTTTTCTTTTTTTTTTTTTCCCTGGTACCGGGAATCGAACTCACGACCTTGCACTTGCCAGGCAGGTGCTGTGCCGCTGAGCTAAATCCCCAGCCCCACGTTAGTTTTTTCTTTAAGGCCGGGACCTTTTACCTTGCCCGTGCTGGCCCTCAGTCCCTGAGCTTAAGTGATCTTCCTGCCCCCCGCCCCCAGTCGCTGGGATCACTGGTGCTTTGTATTCATGCTCACTCGGCCTTTGGTTACAATTATTTTCTTTTTCTTCTTCAGTCCTGATGATCAAACCTAGGGCCTCGAGCATGCTGGGAAAGTACACCACCGCTGAGCTACAATTCCAGCCCCACTTACACATTTCTTAGTAAATTTGTTTTGTGGGTTAGGGGAAAGAAAAATGTACAGAGCCGGGGATGTAGTTCAGTGGCACAGCGCCAGCGCGGCAAGTGCAAGATGCTGAGTCCAATTTCCGATTCAAAGAGAAAAGTGCAGACCCAAACTTTGTGTTTTATTTCCTTTAGATCTTTGAAGGTGGCCACCTGAGCCACTTCATAGATGGAAGGGAGACCGGGAACTGGATGTCTTACGTCAACTGTGCCCGCTTCCCCAAGGAGCAGAACTTGGTTGCTGTTCAGTGTCAAGGACAGATATTTTACGAGAGCTGCAAGGACATTTGCCAGAACCAAGAGCTGCTCGTGTGGTACGGAGACTGCTACGAGAAGTTCCTGGACATTCCCGTGAGCCTGCAGGCCACTGAGCAGGGTGCGCAGCCGGCAGCGCCCGCAGAGGGTGAGTGCTGCTCTGCCTGCCCACCCAGGCCGGCCTGGGGCGGGGCCGAGCTCTCCCCTGAACTCACCAGTCAAAATCTTAACCGGGGAGGGAGGGTTGCCCTGATAAAGGCAATGTTTTCCAGGTCTTTCCAAAGCTGCTGGAGCTACTCCTATTCATAGGGGTACCCCAGCCCTCCAACCCCCCTCCCCTTCTTGAGAGTAAAAGACAAGAGAAATAAAATAAATGGATGCCTCCTCTGCCTTAGGCGAGTCAGTTTTGACTCTGCTCGGGCTCAGAATAACAGTGGATGCTGGGCATGGTGGCACACGCCTGTAATCCCAGCACTTGGGAGGCTGAGGCAGGAGGATCGTTGTGAGTTCCAGGCCAGCCCGGGCTACAAAGTGAGCTTAACGCCAGCCTGAACTGCATAGCAAGACCCTGTTGCAAAAAAAAAAAAAAAAAGGGGGCAGGGGATTTAGCTCAGCGGCAAAGCGCCTGCCTGGCAAGCGCAAGGTCATGAGTTCGGTTCCTGGTACCGGACAAAAACCAAAAAAAAAAAAAAGTTAATTAAGGGGAGTTGCTTAATTGGTAAACATTAAGCATTGTTTTGTTCAGATGCCTCCAGTGTGTGCCAGATATCAAGGGTACAGTGTGTGTGCTGCTGTGGGTCCGGGTGAGTTAGAGGACACGGAGCCAGGTGCTGCCGCAGCCTGGAGCACGGCCATGCGCGCCTAGCAAGGGCACTGTGTGAAGAAGCTGGTTCTCATGGGGGGTGGGCTCTGCCCTTTCTGTACCCTTCCTAAGGAGGCTGCTGCCGGCCCCCAGACCCTATCTGAGCAGCCTGGAGCTAGAGGCCCACCACGCCACTTGGCCCCTACCCCGGGTGAGCCTCTGGGATTTGATTTTGTGGGGTTGGAGGAGCTTGGGGCTGCAGGGCAAGTGCTCTCCCACTAACTCCATCCCCAGGCCTCTGTTTGCATTTTAAATAAGCTCTCAAGGTTGGAGCGCTAGTAACCCTCTAGGTAGGACACGTGTCAATCACTGAGGTGTGTGAAACCGAGATGGCAGACACGATTGCTTACGTAAAAGAACAGCAGATTGCAGTGACAGGCAGGAGGGTGACTGTCTGCCGGCCTGTCTCCAGCTAGACTGACACCCTCCAGGCAGGAAATGACCCCAAACCCCGAGATGGGCCCCGCTGCCTGTGTGTCCTGAAGGACCCTGAAGGAGGAAGACTTCACAGCTAACTTGGGGAGAGCTGCTTAGGAATGGGAGGGAGTGAAGGAGTGAGGCAGCGGGGGAGGGAGGCCGCCTGGGCTCCGGGCAGGGGTTCGAAGGAAGCTTGCTGTCTTCCAGCCAGCCGTTTGAGCAGGGCGGGCTGTCAGGATCGTTTTGTGAACTGTGCCACTCCTTCGGGGGGCATGGGCGTGGGGTGAGGGTAGACTGGGGCTCTCTGTGCCGTACTTGGGACCAAAACAAGTAAGAATTGCAGTCACTTCCAGAAATGTACCAACTGCATTTGAAGCAGAAGTGGAAAATGGATTGGAGAAAAAGACATGTTGAATAACACCCCCCCATGTTATCACCCTTTTGAGAAGTTACCCTCCAGTATGCGTTGAACTGTCGGTGTCCATAGCCTTCCATAGGCCAGTCGTGCTCGTGATAAGCCGTCAGCAGGGCGCAGTGGGGCTTGCGATGCGGACGAAGGCCAGCGTGGAGCCACCGGTGCTCCAGGTCTGAGCCAGGTGGCAGTGGATGCCCACGGCACCGGGAGGTGCGATGTGGACATTGAATGGAAGGGAACTTGTAAACAACCTAGTTTGGTGCAAAGATGCGGTGTGCATGATTTTTTTGTTGTTGTTGCTGCTTGTTTTTGTGGTGCTGGGGTTGTCTAACCCCAGGATTCATGCCAGACAAGGGCTCTACCCCTGAGGGCCCCTCCCCTGCGGCAATATGAGTATTCTGGGACAGGATAACAAAGATCTGACCGGGCGTGGGGTTACACGCCTGTTACCCCAGCACTCTGGGAGGCTGAAGTAGGAGGTCCACAAGTTTCAAGCTGGAGCAGGGTCTGGGCAACTTGATGAGATCCTGCCCAAAAATTTAAAAAAAGAGACGGGTCGTAGCCCAGTGCAAAGGCCTGGGTTCAGTCAGGAGAGATCTAAATTCTAAAGTCCTCTGCTCTCCCAAAAGGGTGTGTTTTGACCAAAGGTTTTTTGAGAGGGCTTCCCCATCAGGTCTGGGCTCCGTGTGTGTGGGGTAGTCAAATGTGCAAGAGCTGTGTGTGTTTCAGGCTGGAGGTGTGGGATGTGAAGACCACTCTTTATTAAGAAAAGTACACATCATGAAATCGACCATCTTGGAGACAGCTCTTACTTTTTATTTTATTTATTTCTTTATTTATTTGTCTTTTTGAGACAGGGTCTTGCTATGCAGTTCAAGCTGGCCTTGAGCTCACTTTGTAGCCCAAGCTGGTCTGGAACTTGCGACGATCCGAGTGCTGGGATTACAGGCCTGCGCCACCACGCCTGGCCATAGCTCTTAATTTCTAGCGAACCGTCCTGGAGAGTGTCAGTATTACCGGGGCTGGGAAGCTCCTTGGCAGAAAAAGAGATCAGGATAGAAGGAAAAAGAAAAGGACTAGGATAAAATTCAAATATATTTCCTAAGACCTGAACAGGAAATCTAGCCGGCTGCAGCCCATTGGTAAAGGTCAGTTTTTGTGCTTCGGGGCTTTCATTTGTAAAATCACTTACCCTGTCCAGGAAGCAGGCCGGGTATTTCTGACCAATGGTAGCTGGCTCTGAGCTGGAAGCCCCTCAGCAGGGGCCGAGTGTATTAAGCACCTCAATGAAAGTGATAGGCCAGCAAGCAGGCCGCACCCCTCGCTTGGCTGTAGCCCTCCCACCCCTCCTGGTTATTCACTTAAGGAATGGTTTATTTCCTCTACCACCTGTAAACCTCGCCTGGGATGTAACAAAGCCCCTGCTGGCCCGATACAGAAAAGATCTCTATCTGCAGATTCTTGCATAGACCCCCTGGCTCTTTTCTCCCCGGGGGCAGACCGAGGTCTCAGTGGTGGGTTTCTTAGTGAAGCCGCTTTACACCCTGGAATCCAGAGTGTCCAGGTGGGCGGGGTGCTTTTCGTAGGTGGCCCTGTCCTCTCCCCTGCCCCCGGTGCATAGACACCTCTGGCCGTCCCCCAGGACCTCTGCTCTAACCGCCCCCTCCACTGATAAGAGCACCTTTGCTTCTCTCAGAGCCTGCCTGTCACTCAGTGACCCTGTCCACAGCTGTTAGGACTCAGCCTTCAAAAGCACAGCAGACCCCACGTGTATTAAGAAAGCCAAAATGTTTGCACTCTTATTCTGAATGTGAATAGCTCTGTAGCTTCGGCTGCTCCTGTGGGAGTGAGGAGGGAGGTAGACTGCCATCAGCTAACCTTGGAACAAGGCCTGGCAGGAAGTTCAAGAACTGTAGTGCCACCCACTGTGATGGTAGATGCTTGTAATCGCAGCTACTTGGGAGGCTGAGACAGGAGGGTTAAAGAGGCCAGCCCAGACAAAATAAAAATCTATCTCAAAATAAAATGGAGCTGGAGATGTAGCTCAAGGGCATGAGCTCAAGCCCCAGCACTTCAGGGGAAAAAAAATGTGAACTATTCTTAAATTGGGCTGATAGGTTTTCTTCAACAAAAGCACTTTGGCAAACAAAAGAACAGCCTGTATGTCTCTCCCCTCCCCCGGGAACTGAACCGGCCACCTCACGCTTACCAGGCGCTGTACCTGTGCCGCTGAGCTAAATCCCTGGCAGCCTGTATTTCTATTAAGGAATAAGTGCTACAATCTAAGGTACAATTGGATTATCACAGTTCATTCTTTGATTTTTGAGACAGGGCCTTGTTTGTGGTCCAAGGCTGGCCTTGAACTCACCATCCTGCTGATTACAGGCATGCTCCATCCTGCCTAGCAGCATTATTGATACACTTCTTAGGACTTCCTTATCTTACCTGGGTGTGGTAGGGCAGGACTGTACTCCCAGCACCCTGGGAGGCTAAAGCAGGAGTGAAGGAAATTTTGAGCAGGCCTTGGGCAATTTAGCAAGACCTTGTCTCAAAACATCAGGAATGGGCTACAAAGAGCTCAAGACCAGTTTGAACTGCACAGTGAGACCCTGTCTCAAAAAAAAAAAAAAAAAAAAAAAAACCTGGAAGCCGGGCATTGTGGCGCACACCTGTAATCTCAGCACTCGGGAGGCTGAGTCAGGAGGATCGTTGCGAGTTTGAGACCAGCCTGTGCTACAAAGTGAGCTTTGAACTGCATAGTGAGACCTTGTCTCAAAAAAAAAAAAAAAGGTCAGAAAATGCAGCTCAGTGTGAGGGCCCTGGGTTCCATCCCCAGTACCACAAAAAAAAAAAAAGGGAGAGAGGGAAAGAAAATCCTTATCTTAGCTAGGTATGATTCACATCTATAATAGAACCCCAGCATTTGGGGAAGCTGAAGCAGGAGGGATGGACTTCAAGGCCACACAGCAAGACCCTGTCTCAAAACAAACAAGGTCTCACTATGTAGTTCAGGCTGGCCTTGAGCTCACTATGTGGGGCAGGCTGGCCTCAAACTTGTAGCAGTCCTCCTCCCTCAGCCTTCCTAGTACTGGGATTACAGCTGTGGGCCACCATGCTTGGCTTGTTTTTTGGGGGATAGGGTCTCACTGTATCATTCAGGCTGGCCTTCAACTCACGATGTAGCTCATGCAGTGATTCTCCTGCCTCAGCCTCCCAAGTGCTGGTACTGTAGGTGTGTGCCGGTATATGTTTACAGTGTCGTGGGGGAGGGAAGGTAGCTGACACCTGAACCCACGGGCACTCACCCTGTGTCTGACAGAGTCCGCAGAAGGTTACAGATGCGAGAGATGCGGAAAGGTGTTCACCTACAAATACTACAGAGATAAGCACCTCAAGTACACGCCCTGCGTGGACCAGGGCGACAGGAAGTTCCCGTGCTCGCTGTGTAAGCGGTCCTTTGAGAAGCGGGACCGCCTGCGCATCCACGTTCTCCACGTTCACGAGAAGCACCGGCCGCACAAGGTGAGCCGGGCTGGAGGGGTCGCTGCAGGGGTTTGCGCGGGGGCAGGGAGCAGGCTCTGGGGAGCTGAGCCTGGAAGGACAAACCGGCTCTCCGATGCAGTCTGGAGGTGCAGCGGGTGTTAAAGGGGCACGGGGTTAAGACCCTCCAGGCGTTGTGTGTGATCAGAGGTAATGGTACTTCGCCCTGTGTCTGGAAGTCATGCAGGTATTTATAGTTGTGTGTCTTTACCTACCTTTTTTTTTTGAGTTGTTTTGGGTTTTTTGGTTTGTTTTTTGGTTATTTTGAGACAAAATCTCTCACTATGCAGTTCAGGCTGGCCTTGAGCTGGCTTTAGCCCAGGCTGGCCTCGAACTCGCAAGGATCCTCCTGCCTCAGCCTCCTGAGTGCTGGGATTACAGGTGTGCGCCACTACACCCAGCTTTGGGGGTGTCACAATACAGCCCAGGCAGACCTCAAGCTCACACTGATCTCCTGCCTCAGCTTTTGGAGCGCTAGGATTACAGGCCAGCACCCCTAATCCCCCCTCTCTTTTTTCCTGTTTCGATGGTGCCGAGGTCTGGCCCAGGCTTCTCAGCTTGCTGGCTAGGGCTCTACGGTGGAGTTGCAGGCTGGGGAAGCTGAGGTGTGCTCAGGAGTGCAAGGCCTCTGGCTGGCCTCATGACGAGCTCAGGGGCCACCATCTGCCCTCGCAGACCCTGCTTGCTCTGCCAGGCTTGGTGCAGAAGGGATGAACCCGCTTTGCCCGAGTGAGAGAGGGGAGAGGCTTGGGCACACAGCTTATTCTCGAGTCCCTGTTCTGTTGGGGCCATTTAAGGAAGTGGTGACATTGAGCCCTGTTTCCCTCCCCCACTCCCCGGTACCGGGAATCGAACTCACGACCTTGCGCTTGCCAGACAGGCGCTGTGCCGCTGAGCTAAATCCCCAGCCCCTCCCTTTCTTAAAAACGGTGTAAAGTTCATAAAATTGTCGTGGTCTCTCTCCTCTTTCCTAAGTTGAGGTTTCTTACTCAGTGTTATGTTTAAGGCTGAGGTCAGTGGCAGAGTCCTTGCCTCGCACGCTGCAGGCCCTAGGATCGCAGCCCGGCCCAGCACATAGCACTCCTCGGCAGAGTAGCACTGGGCCAGGCGGGCGGAGTGCTTGTCTGTGGCCGTGTGTACCCCACCTGGGAGGGGCTGGGAGGCAAATTACGGTTAAGCCAGACTAGAAGGAAAACACAAGTGCAGCAGATGTGCTCTCAAGAAATGTTCTGTTGGGTCGTTTTTTGGGGGTACTGGGAACTGAACTCAGGACCTTGTGCTTGCCAGGCAGGTGCTGTGCCGCTGAGTTGTATCCCCTGGGCCTGTTTTGTCTTCTTTTAGACAGGGTCTCACTGTAGTTCAGGCTGGCCTTGAACTCTCTTTGTCTTGGGTTTTGGTTCTGGAGATTGAACCCAGGCGCTTGCACATGCTTAATTTATGCCCTACCAGTGAGCTACATCCCAGTCCCTAGGTAAGTGATTTTTAAGCAGAAAAATCATTGATGTGCTCACGCCAGAAAATGCTGGGTATGCAGCTAAAAGCTGGGAACTCCATCTCGCCACCTCCTACCTGAGTGTCCTTTCTCCTTAAATAATTAACCGGCGAAAATTAACGGAGGCCAGTGCCCTGAAAAGTGACATCGGTTTCAAAAAGAGCACCGACTAAAGTGTCAGAAAAAAATCCCTGTCGTCCTTGGGAGCTGCAACTGCACTGAGTTCGTGCACCAGTTCAGAATTTTCCGTCTCCAGGCCTTTGCTTTCCCAGAAGCCTTTTTGTTGTTTCTGCCTCGCCCTTCCATGCTAGAGATTGAACCCAGGACCTTGCGCTGCGCTGCGTTTCTAGCCCTTCCTTTTATAAGGTCTCCCGAAGCCACTAAGGTGCCCACACTGGGCTTGAACTTGTGGACTTCAGATCTTCCTACCGCAGTCCTGGGGTTGCAGGTGCGGTGCCACACCGGGCTCACAAAGCACTGCGCTCTGTCAGGTGCTCCGCAGCACACCACACTTCATCTGTGGCTTCCTTGTAAACTTCGTTTCTGTTTTTGTGGGTACCAGGAATCGAACTCGGGACCTCGTACTTTCCAGGCAGGCGTTGTACTGCTGAGCTATATCCCCAGCCCTACTGAACTTCGTTTTGTTTTATCTTTTTGAGAAGGGTCTCGCTGTGCAGTTCACACTGGCCTTGAGCTCACTTTGTAGCCCAGACTGGTCTGGAATTTGCAACGATCCTCCTGCCTCAGCCTCCCGAGTGCTGGGATTACAGGCGTGCAGCACCATGCCCAGCTATTTAACTTTATTTTATTTCACTTGCTTTTGATCCGGAGTCTCACTGAATTGCCCCAGCATGGGGCAGCCCACTGTTTACAGACAGTAGACCTGAGGCCCCGCTCCCCTGCGAACATGATGCTGAAACAGACTCACTGTCGGGGGAAGGAGGTGCGGTTTCAACTCTGCTTTGCTTGCTTTTCACCCTAGTGCTCCACGTGTGGGAAATGCTTCTCTCAGTCTTCCAGCCTGAACAAGCACATGCGCGTCCACTCTGGAGACCGGCCGTACCAGTGCGTGTACTGTGCAAAGGTGAGCAGGCCCGCGTGGGCGCCCATGGGTGGGGAAGCACAGGGCCTGCACGCTGAGCTTCATCTGCAGCCCTTTTTTATATTTCGAGGCAGGGTCTCCCTGAGTCCCTAAGTTGTTGGCTGGACAAGAATCTGCAGTCCTCCTGCCTCAGCTTCCCAGAGCACTAAAGTCATAAAAGAAAACTTTTTTTTTTTTTGTCTTTTTGAGGCAGGGTCTCGCTATGCAGTTCAGGCTGGCCTTGAGCTCACTTTGTAGCTCAGGCTGGTCTCGAACTCGCCATGATCCTCCTGCCTCAGCCTCCCGAGTGCTGGGATTACAGATGTGCGCGACCACGCCCGGCTAAAGTCATAAAAGAAACAGAGTGTCTCAGCGGGACTTCTAAACACCCCACATAGGAATGAAACATTAATTCTACTAGGCTTAGGGAGACTGGTACTTGTAGAAAAAAATCAGCATAGTAAAACAAGGCTGAAACATAAGTAACCATAGGAACCCAGCACAGATAGAGGAGGTGGCCAGAGGTTTGGTGGATGTGGTCTTTCCTGAGGGGTAATCGTGTCCCATCCCATGGGATTTTCAGAGCAAGGACAAAATACCCTACAAACCGCCCTGTCTCTGGAATCCTAATTCTGATGCTCACCCAGTGCTTCTAGCTAACCTGGAAAGAGGGGCGCTCTGAGGGGGAAGCCGAGGCCAGCTAAATTACTCGTGACCTGGCATTCTGGCTGACCTGGCATTCTGGCTGATGCATTCGATTCCAGCTCTTATCCTGAGGGCTGAGCACCCCGGGTGGTCTTTGTTCGGTGCAGTGACCTGACTCCTCCCCACCTGACAACCCTGGGGTCCTGCTACCAGACACCCGCTCTCCACTGGTCCCTCCCAGACCCGTGTTCAAGTTCACTAGTTCACCTCCTGTTTTATATTACTGCCACTGAGCCCAGTACATAGTCAGAACGTTTTCAACACACCGCCAAGTACAAATGTCAGAAAGTTATATCGAAATAAAGGAGACCAAAGGTTATAAATAAGGGGAAGAGAAGATGTGACCAAGAATATGTAAAATAAACAAACGCAGTAAAATGTCCAGGAATCTAAAATTTAAAGCTGCACTGGAAAATAGTCAGGCAGTTTCTTAAAACTGCACATGGCCAGGTGTAGAAGCCACAAACCAGCCGCGCAGGCGTTGCCGGGAGATGAGGCGGAGGGTTGTGAGTTAGAGGCCCCGACCCTGGGGAACTGGGGACACCTCATCTCAGAAAGATCAACCAAATTTCCACCTGTCCCAGCACCCTGCCGCCGCTCTCCTGAGCGCTTCTCCCAGGGAGACGCAGGCTTTTATGTTCACACAAACCTGCAGACAACGTCAGTCACAGTTTTACTCAGAATAGCCCCGAACTGGGAGTGACCCGGATGTCCCACAGCAGATGAGCACCAAAGCTGAGTGGGTGTGCTGCCCTTGTCGCTGGGCACTGCTGGGCAGTGAGAGAAACGAGCTGGTACACAGCCTCGGCAGATCTCTGGAGAAGGATGCTGAGTGACAAAGCAAATCCTGGAGCGATTGTACGATCACCTATTGTACGATCCCGTTTATGTGACAGTCTTGCCCTGCTAAAGCTGTAGAAGTGGAGAACAAAATAGTTGGCGGCCTCATCTAAAGGAAAACGAGGGAGAGAGTTCGCAGGACAATGATGGGCTCTAGAACTGTAAGATGTAGCCACTGAGGGAAGTTGGCTCTTGGGTGTACAGAATTTGTTATTGTTTACAACTGACCGAGATATGTACAAGTATCTCAAAATGTACAGTTTTTTTTTTTTTACTTAAAAAAAGAAAACCAGAGCCAGGGTGGTGGCGCACACCTACAATCCCAGCACTCAGGAAGCTGAGACAGGAGGATCATTGTGAGTTCGAGACCAGCCTGGGCTACAAAGTGAGCTCAAGACCAGCCTGAACTGCGTAGCGAGACCCTGTCTCAAAAAGACAAATAAAAAAGATTCATCCATTAGGCAACTAAGGGGCACGTGAGTGATCGGTAGCAATGCAGTCAGCCCCCTCCTCACAGGGGTCCAGCCCAGGGAAGTCGTTTTTTCTCCAGCTCTCTGTCCTCTGCAGAAGTTCACTGCCTCCAGCATCCTCCGCACACACATCAGGCAGCATTCCGGGGAGAAGCCCTTCAAGTGCAAGTACTGCGGCAAATCTTTCGCGTCCCACGCTGCCCACGACAGCCACGTTCGGCGCTCGCACAAGGAAGACGAGGGTGGCACCTGCAGCATCTGCGGGAAAGTCTTCCCGGATCAGGAGGCCCTGGATTCCCACGTGAAGGCTCACGGAGACTGCTTGCCCTCCGAGTGCGGGACCATGTGAAAACCGAGGACGTGGACGGAACGTTAGATGAGAGATGGGACAAGAGAACCAGCCACCGCCGGACCGCCAGGGTGACGGGGGCTCTTGAGGACGTGCTTTCCACGCTTGTTAGCGAGAGCAGAACGCCGGGGACTTCGCCAGAGCAGTGCGAGCTTACAGGGGCCTGAGGGTCTGAAAACATCTCCCCAGACACAGATGTCCCTGGAGCTCAGGGACAAGGCAGAGTCCCAGACTTCCCGGTGAAGGAGAAGCTGGATTCTTTTATTTGACCTGAGCCCCCGGATTCACAATGTCTGCCCGTCCTGGATCAATTTCTTCACGGTACAGGGTTCATTTACTGAAGCTACGGCTTGATTGTTAGTACTGTGGTTAAGTTTTCAGCTGTGCATTAACCTCTTGTCTTTATTTGGATTCGTTTTAACTCCCGTGTCCCTTCCCCCGACGCACACGACACATGCCAGATAACGCGCTTCGCCCCAAGCACAACCACTCGGAGCTGGTTGTGCACCCTGCCGTCTGCGACCGCGTCAGCCGGGGAGGAAGATTACATCCCAGTGAACGAAGGCTGAAACGAAACCTATTTATGTTGCTCTGGTTTTAAACTTGATTTCATTTCTGAGAAATAAAGTGGACTCTTGCTCAGGGCTTCGTAAGTAGCGTGTCGCGGTACAGCGGGAGGGCAGGGAGAAGCCCCCGGAGACGCGTGTGCTGGGTGAGGCCTCCCGGGACCGGGCGGGAGTCGGAGTTAGTGACAGCCAAAGTCACTGAGCACCTGCCTGGAACACGCTGCCCCTGGGTGTGCCGCTGTTCAGAGGAGAATGGACACCTAGAGGTGACGGAAGTGGTGGGCAGTCTCCTGTCCCTGAGGGGCGGAGCCGCATCTGCCCATCTGCGAAGCCTCCCAACTAGCGCGGGGCTTGGTCTGAGCCCTGGTTGGGAAAGTGCATTCTCCCTCCCGTTCACTCTCCTGTTTTTTGTTCGATTTTTGTGGTGCTGGGGGTTGAACTCAGGGCCTTGTGCATGCCGGGCAGGCCCTCTACCCCGAGCTACGTCCTCAGCCCACTTCCCGCTTTCTTGACAACACGAGCAACCACAGACTTTGAAATATCCACCCAGAAAACTCGACAGCAGAGTAAGCAAGAGACAGTGTCCCCGAGGCAACCTTAGCCCCTCAGGTTCTGTCCCTTCACAAGGGGCCTCTTCACCCTACAGCCATGCCTGGCTTCTCAGCGGGGAGCAAACATCCTCCCACAGGAGCCCCACTATCGCTGTACTCTGGGTTCAGGGGGAATCACAGCGACAAATTTTCCCCCTGGGAGTTCTGCTTCTGTGCCGCCTCCTCTAGGGCTGGCTAATTCACCCTAAGGAGGGTGCGCCCTGATGTTCGGGGAATGCCGGGGTTCGTGCTAATTAAGTCAGAACAGTGGTCTTTTGGAAAGATCTGGGCTTACTTGATTTCTCCCAACATAGGCGTAGATGAAATTGAGTAGCAAGGTGACTCGGCAGAATCACAAAGCTGTTCCTTAGAAGAAAGCATTAGAATGCAAACTAGAACAGCGCCTGCCTGGCAAGCACAAGGTCCTGAGTTCAAATCCTAGTACCAAAAGAAAAAAAAAGGTATTAAAAAATGCAGATTGGAGGCAGCATAGTTCACTCACTGGGCATAACACACCCATAGAGCACGTTGGGCTGTTTAAACGTTAGAAATAACATCACAGGTGGGATTTAGCGAACTCCCTGTAGGATAGTTTCTCTGCTATGCTTCTTTCCCTGAGTCTACATCTGATGATAAATATTTTTACTCATTAGAATAGAATTACTGTTAAAAAGCAACACTTGAGGGGCTGAGGATATAGCTCAGTGGTACAAGTGCAGTGCTGCCTGGCAAGTGTGTGTGTGAGGTCCTGAGTTCAATTCCCAGCATCGAAAAAAAAAGCAACACTTGAATTCTGGAAAAATAACAAGGTTTAAGGCAGAGTAGCAAGCACAATATTGGTAGAGCTCTTTTTTTTTTTTTTTGGTCTTTTTGAGACAGTCTCGCTATGCAGTTCAAGCTGGCCTTGAGCTCACTTTGTAGCCCAGGCTGGTCTTGAACTCACATTGATCCTCCTGCCTCAGCCTTCCAAGTGCTGGGATTACAGGCGTGTGCTACCACGCCCGGCTTGGTGAAGCTCTTAATGGGTCCTCAGGGCACCCTAGGAGCCAGGGAGGCTGGCATCACGGCAAACAGAGCTGTCAGAGCAGCCGGTGTCCGGGCCTCAGTGTCCCTTGGTTTGGTGTAAGATTGGTTCACCCAGGGAGGGCACAGGGCACCATTTACGGTGCAATAGAGGTCAAACCACAAATACTCCTGGACCACCTGCTACTGACCAGCCAATTTCCACTCAATAGGTTTTAGGTTGTCTTAATTACTTTTCTCAACCGGGGATTTAGCCCAGTGCCATAGCGCCTGCCCAGCTAGCTCAAGGTTATGAGTTCGACTCCCAGTACCAAAAAAAATAAAAAATTAATTACTTTTCTCATTGCTGAGACAAAATACCCAACATCTAAGGTTAAAAGGAGAAAGGTTTATTTAGCTCCAAGTTTGTAGAGATTTCAGTCCATAATTGACAGCTCGCAGGCAGGGTGGCATGGCAGAGGAGAAACAGTTCCAGGCAGGCAGAAAGCAGAACAAGCAAGGGGCCTCAACAGCAACTGTCTGCCCCTTTTATCTCCTCAGGTTGCTGAGGGTGGGTGGCACTCACACCCTTAATCCTAGTGCCCTTGAGCCTAGCATTGCACCACGCATCAGTTCCAGCAGCACACCTCTGAAAATCCAGCCACCTCTGAAAAAGCCCCACCTATAACCGCATGAGGCTCTGAGGGGACATCCAGACACAAGCTGCAACAGGTGTTTTTAGAATTCCTTGACTTTTATGAGCAGGGAATTCAACTGTTAAAAACCCTACCCAAAGTTCAGGAGAACGAATGTACATCAAATTCTTTCAATAGGGGGCTGGGGATTTAGCTCAGTGGTACAGCGCCTGCCCGGCAAGTGCAAGGTCATGATTTCGATCCCCGGTACTGGAAACAAACAAAAAAAAGTTTAAAAAAAGTTCTTTCAACAGATCTAGGTACTATGATAATAGAATATTTTACCATGGATTTCTTTTTTTTGGTACTGGGAATCAAACTTAGGACCTTGTGCTTGCCAGGCAGGCCCTGCTGCTTCTGCCTCGCGGCCAGCGGTGCCTCTGTGCTGTATCCCCAGCCGTGATATTTTTGTTGTTGTTGGTAAACCAATAGTAGAATAACCATTAGTGTTCTGAAAGAGAAGGAGTTAATACAGTCAATGTGATAGTACACACCCGTAATCCCAGCCACTCGGGAAGCTGAGGCAGGAAGATAGGTTTGAGGCCAACCTGGGCAATTTAGCAAGACTTTCTCTCAAAACTACAAAAAAAAAAAAAAATGCTAGGGACATACCTCACTGGTAGAGGGCTTGCCTAGCATGTGTGAGGCCCTGCGATTGATCCATAATACAGGAAAAGAAATATATACGGTGTGTGTGTGCGTACACGTGTGTATGTACACACATAGAGATGTCTCCTGTACTGATAGTTTCTATAAGGCATGAGAATCTTACAAAGGAAACCACAGTTTGCTTTTCTACATTATTCAAAGAGTCACAGCCCCGCCTCTGTCACCCGGGATGGGATACCTGCAGGAAGGGCGCTGGAACCCTGGAAGGCAAAGATGAAGGCTGTGATCTCCAGGAAAACACGCCATGTCAGTCTCCTGGAGGAGAACGGAGGAACGGAGGCGCCTAGCGTGCAGCCAGCACACCCGGGGAGGACGCTGGACGCCCCGAAACCAGGAAGCAGGTTTCAGGGGAGACTTTGGCCTTGGACTTTTCAGCCCTGGTGGGACTGTTGATTCTTTCCCGATTCAGACAAAAGGCAGTTTGCATAAGGACAGTCTTGAGTCTTTGGGGGTAGAAGCGGGACGGTATGGCTGAGATCAGGAATGCCCCTGAGCTCCTGCATTCAGAGGTTGTGCACTTGAAAAGTGACTGGGCCTTGAGGGCCCTATTCTCACTCACTGGCTGCTTAGCCCGCCGAGGAGTTTGCCGGGAGACCGGCCGGGCGGGAGAGGCAGTCCCCTGGGGGTGACCAGAAGCGCATCTCTGCCCGGCTCCTTCCTTCCAGCCCTGCTTCCCGGCCGCCCTGGGCTGAGCGGCTCGCTTCCGCCCAGGCCTTTCCTCGGAGCTGCTTCTGCCTCGCGGCCAGCGGCGCTGAAACCTGAGCCCGAGCGGACCTCTCCCCTGCGTTGTGAGTGGCGGCCGCTGTGTTTCAGCGGGAACGCCGCTGCGGAAGACGTCGGCACTCAGCACCGAGATCTTAGTCACTGTTCATTTACAGGCGGGCCGGTGGGGGTAACTTAGCCTTGTCTGATGCTACCTGCTGGCTGTGGGTGAGGCCAGGTGCACGGAGAGATGAGCCCCAGTTTTGGATTACATGAAGGTGAACTCCAGCAGAAAATCTCTTTCAAAAAAAAAAAAAGAAAATCTGTCTCATCCGGGTGGGTAGCTGTAATCCCAGCTCTAGGGAGGCTGAGGCAGGAGGCTGAGGCAACTGAGTTTGAGGCGGGCATGGGCTACATTAGCCAGTTCAAGGCCAGCGTGCACTGCATGGCAAGACCTTGTCTCAAAAAAAAAAAAAAAGCAGTGTGGGACAGAACTACTCAGAGATGTAGACGTAGAACCTCATATCCCTAAGAACTACTGCTTGAAAAGTGTACTACAGGGGCCGGGGATACAGCTCAGTGGCACCAGTGCTTAGATCCTGAGTTCCATACCTGCTACCCCACCCAAAAAAGTGTACTACACTGAATATTCATCCTGTACATTTCCCCTGTACAGTCATTTGCCAAAAAAATGTTAGGCTACAAGGTGCAGATGCTCCAGGAAATGAAGGCCGTGAAAGCAAGAGACTTTGTAGTGGAAACCCTAATCTGGGGTCCCCTGTGGTACATTTACATTTACAGGATAACGGGGAATAACTGCCCAAGTATTATTCTATGACTTAAATTTTAAACACTGCTTAACTTAATGTTTCTTTCTTTGGTATACTGCAATTTGATTAAACAACCATCCTTAAAATTTTAAATCATTTCTCTATGATAACCTTTTGTTGTTGTTTTTTTTCCGGCACTGGGAATCAAACTCACGACCTTGCACTTGCCGGGCAGGCGCTGTGCTGCTGAGCTAAATTCCCAGCCCCGATAACCTTATTACTAAATTAAAAAAAAACAACTAGTGTTTGCCTTAACCTAACAATATGTTCTGTTTTTTTTTTTTTTTTTCCTTTTTGATACCAGGAAGGAAACTCAGGACCTTGCACTTGCCAGGCAGGCCCTGTGCTGCTGAGCTATACCCCCAATCCTGTTTTTTCTTTTTTTGAGACAGGGTCTCCCTATGTAGCCCAGTCTGGCCTCAAACTTCTGGTGATCCTCCTGCCTCAGCCTTCTGAGTGCTGGGACTACAGTTTTGTGCTACCGTGTCCAGCTATGTTCTGTTTTTAATCTTAACCAATTAACCAGGTGTGGTGGCACAGACCTGTAATCCCAGCACTCTCAAGGCTGAGGCAGGATT